CACAAGGTGCACCTACCATCTTGATAGCCATCCCCACTGTGGACTGCTCTGCCTGCAAGGCTTGTGATGCTGAGTCCCTTGTAAAAAGATGCTCATCAATAAGGTCTGTCTCCAAAATAACTGCAGGAGATAGTGACACAAGGGGAAAATTAAATGCAGAAATACTAAGAGAGACAAAATCGAGTTAGGCCAGTGATCAATGCCTTTGTTTCTAGATTAAAAACCTTAATGCTTTCAAAATTATTCTTAAAAAATCTACTGGAAAGCCTGCAGTCATAATGCAGATATAGTAATTAGAGATATATTCATAGATGGTAAATATATGCCAAGTGATGTTATGTAAACTTTCCTCCCAAATCTATAACTATTGTTTAAATAAAGGTGGTTACGGCCAATTATTAGGGAGAATAGAGAGAAGCAGAGTTTGAATTACTTGGCTAGTGGTTGCAAGTAGGAAATTGTAAGAAGAAAAAGAAGAAAGAAGAGAGAAGGAGCAGCACAGAGGAGGAGGAAATGGGGAGAACAGGAGGTCTCCATTAATTGTGATAGACCACATGCCCAAGTGAAATTCTCCCCTGCCCCAGGACAGCAGACTGCTGAAGGATTATCACAGAAAGATTCAAACAGCAAGTATTTGGGATCCACAGCTAGGGAAGAAGTCTAACTGTTACAAAAGTTGATTAGCCCCCAGTAGTTATCAAAACCAAACAAACTATAGTGTGAGTCTCATTCATTTGTAAGCTAAACAGAGATATCCATTAACCAGGTATTTTACATGGTCCTTCATAAAGATGACACCACTTCTGCAACAAGACCATTTGTGCTTGATAATCCCAGAAGCACTTCACCTAAAACTGAACTCTTAAGCTCTCCAAAATTTCAGTTTTAAAGATGAGAGGAATTTTAGAATAAGACTCTTATTCTTGAACCAAATATTGGGACACAGCATCTGGGGGCAGTTCCTGCATTGAGCTCCTGCCCTGACTACTCTCTAAGATGGACTGCAACATGTAAAATGATTTAAACATATTCCTCCACAATGTTGGGTTTTGGTCAATGTTTTATCACAAGGGAAACAAACAAACAAATATTTAAAATCTGTATCATTTCAAGTGTCAATAGATTCAACTACTTTTGAGAGTAGGCAGAATCTTCTTCAGCAGATCAATGCTCTCAGCAGACCTGTTTCTTAACGATGGTGTTCCTACCCACCCCCTATCCTTGGACATTCGGCTGATGGTAGACATCGTGAGTCATGAGCAGGTCAGGGACATTGGATGTAACATACAGTGGAACCACTTTGTTGTTACCATTTCATTTCTTAAATCTCTCTACTCCATAGACCAACAGAGCATAAAAAATCAATTTTTGGTATTTTGCTAGATTACATAAACTGATTTTTTTCTATTTTAGTACAAGTATATAATCTAGAGAACCTAGTTTTAATTTTAATTTTTTAAGAGAGGAGAGAAAAGTAGCACCTACAAAAATGCTGGAGATCAAACCAAGCACTCTATAACAGAGTGATTATCACAGCCCATAATTTCCTCAGTTCTGCAACCCAGTCACATGTATGTACCTGCATTGTCTGAAAAACAAAAGGGGATATTTTTAAAATTCAGTTATATTGAGAGCTACAGTATTTTACCCCTGCTATCCTAGATACAATAGTCAAACCTTTGGAAATTAACTGCAATGCACTGAAGAGCAGGGAAAATGCACTTGAGGAGGATTTTACGAGAAAGGCTTCCTGGTACCCTTGAGTTTGGATTCACAGCTTTAAAGTTTTGACTTATTTGAGAATAATTAGTTGTACATTAGCATACCAGCATTACAGACTGTTCACTGTTCTTTACTAGTCAACTATTATCAGATTCAACAGTTGTGGGAAACATTTAGGTACAAGAAACAGGACAGGGAATATGCAAAATTCACACATTGGTAGTAAGAAAATAGATAATTAGAAATGGGATTATAATGTTATAGAGCATAAGACAAAATCATGAGAACTAACAAACATCATTGGGTATGTTCACCACATGTGCAGTAAAATTTGCATGTTTCAAAGAATGAAAGGTGTTGTGAATGAGATCTAACTAATCCTGCATGTATTTCTTTGCTTTTATAACATAGATACCTGTCTTAATTTTCTTTGGCTGTGAAGAGATACCATGGCCAAAGAAACTTATTAAAGAAAGTGGGGGTCTTATTTCCAGTTTCAGAGGGTGAGCACATGACTGTCATGGTGGGGAGTGTAGCAGAAATCTCATCCACAGGCAGTAACAGAGAGAAAAGGACTGAGCCTAGTGTGGGCTTTTGAAACTTCAAAGCCCAACCCCAGTGACACACCTCATCCAACAAGGCCACACCTCCTAATCCTTCCTAGAAAACCAGCCAGAAAGCAAACACTCAAATGTACAACTGTGGGGTCTGTTCTCATACAAACCCTATCCTACTCATCTTTCCATGTGTTGCTTATTTCAAACCCAAATGTTTTACCAAGAAATCGGTTGGGGTGAAAAACCATTGATAAATGCTAATTCCTTTATCCAAATGATACCTTGATTTTTGCTATTTGTTACCTATAAATGAGAAGCATTAATGCTCTGTCATCAAGAATCAAGACCTAAGGCAAAAAGGATGATGATTTTTTAAACTCCAAAATGATATAGTTACTTAAAATCATTTATATGATCACTATTACAGATGGTGTTTTACACTATTTTAGATATGAAAATAATGGCTCAATCACATTTTTTTCTTAGCCTGGCAACATTCCTCTCTTCTCTATGCCTGTGGTAGCCCCTTCCTTCTATGCTTTAATTTCTATTTAGTACTAATTTAGTGCCAGTTCTGTTTTTCAGAATCCATAAACCTCATATAACATTAGAATAGCCTTCATTCCTAAGATGACCTAGGAATCTAGCCAAAAATTTGCTAAGGCCCCTAAATGCAATAGCTCTTACGTGTCCTGTGCACAGGTAAGCAAAATCATTTCTTGCTATTTTGTCTTATGTAAATGAAGACAAAGTGAGCATGAATTTCTTCCAGATTTGTAAATAATCCCTTTTCTGTCTACTGTAGAGAGTATTTACCTGCCTACTGAAGAATGTGTTCCCCAAAGCAAATATCACCTGGTTAATAGATGGAAGACTTCTTCAAGGCAATGAAGAAGGTAAGGAAGCAAAGCCACAGGAGTGGGTTTACCATTACTAAGGGTTAGAAAGCCTCAGTGCACAGGTTGATCTTGGCATTTCAAAGTAATTGTTATTCCAAGAGAAACATCACCTTACCTACTAGGTGTCACTTTCTAATATGTCATCTTGTTCCTCCAAGGGGGTAGAAGGCAACATTTTCAAAATAAAAGAGTTATTTCAGAATAAAAGTTGATTTCTTCAGACAATACACACTTTTGTGTGTGTGTGTCTCTCTCTGTGTGTGTCTGTGTGTGTGTCTGTGTGTGTCTGTGTGTGTCAGTAAAAGCAAATATCCTGTATGAGGACAAAACCATTCAAATAAACATACAATTAGTAATAATATCTCTGCCTTTGTAGCATCTCTATCTGCGCTGCTACTTCTTTATTGTTTTAATATATCATCTTCAATTTTCTTGGCATCATTGAAATCAAGTGATAATAATTTCCAATTTCTTGCAAATACTTGGGGCAGGGTCTAAGGGTGTGGCAGTAGGGATGGATATAAAGGAATTATTTCCTTTACAAGGAACAATTTTACTGGAAAGGATTAAGTCCCTGGGGCAGGAATACACACTGAGACAATTTCACATCATATTTCAAACAGTATTTCACATAGCTGCTAACCCCGGCAGCATAATATCCAGCATCCGTGCCTGGACAGCAGGCCTTCCACTGTCTCATTCTTTTAACACAATGAACAATAACTGAGTCACAAACCTCTTGCTCAATTATTACTTTTAATTTCTAAAATTAACAGCTTCCGCTGCTGGATCATTTTATTGATCCTCTTGATGAATTATTTCCTGGTTAAAGATTTCACTTTAAAAGCAGTTTACTCCAATGATAACACAACATACTCCTGAAATTATGTGTTAAAGGTTATGGTGAGGGTGTTTTCCTGTTAAGTAAACACTGTATAAATAAAGCACCCAAATAGGATACACCTATTAGTTTCTCAAATAAGAGACCAGATGGTGTTATCAGAATTCCACCAGCATACAACTGCATTTAGCTAGTATTTTCCAAATAGTTACTTCAAAATTAGTAATAAAAGCCTTTCATGTGAGCCAGGCATGTTGGCATAGGCCTACAACCCTAACATTTGTGACATAGAGGAAATAGAGGAAAGAGGAATAGAGAGTTCAAGGTCATGCTAGGTTACATAATGAGTTTGAGGCCAGGCAGAGATACACCAGACTCAGTCTAAAAAGGGGGAGGGGGCTTTACTGTAAATACTCTGTGAGAGTTCAGAATGATCTGCCCTTTGAGAACAGATAATTTTTATAGTAATTTATGGCTACAATGCATGCAATTTGGATGTTATCTTAACAGTGACTGTTATAAGATACTAAGAAAGGCTCATGGGAACAAAACTGAAAATGCTTATCAATATACAGCTTATTTCAGGAAAAGACTATGATATGATACCAGAATTAGAATACGCATCATCCATTACATTTGGATGACGAGGAGGAGGGCCAATCCACACAACACACTCTGCAGTCACTCTACAAGGACCACACCCACAAGTACTTTCTCAAATAAGAAAACCAATAAACACAGAACAGCACAAAAGTGGGAAGCTCACATCCAAGATATGAGCTTTTATATTATATTGATAGATATATTTGGTATATTCATACAATATGACCAGATATAAGAGCCCTTCAAGCATTCAAACAAATTGAAGTACAAATCGCCAATCTCACCATTACTAAATGACACTAATGAGTTGGAATAATTTATCCCCAAGGCCTTGGATCCATAGTCATAAGACAAACATATAATGAATGCATATTACAGCCTGACGATGGATCAATGCCACCTACGAGCTGGAACAATTGGCTCAGGTTAATTCCAGCTTTGTTGGAAGTGGGCCGTGCTTCTTAGAAACTAAAGGCTAACTGCTTGAGAGCCTCCATTCCTGTCAATGAATTGTGTGTTGCAGCATAAGGCTTTCTACTAGGATGGGGTGAGAGGACAGCTTGAGCCATGAGTTAAAGGCCAGTGTGGGCGACAAAGGGAGATCCTCATCCTAAAACAAAGTAAAAGCAAATTTTATTTTGCAGTGTCTTGGCATCATTGTGTGGCTGATCCAGAAAATGTCAGTGACTAATCACGTTTCATTTGTCTTTTGCAGGAGTACGCATTACAAATGAAGAGAAAAATGGAAGTAGTGGATTTCAGGAACTGAAGGTAGTTTTAACAACGATGTCCACTAGACCATCCCAATCAAACAACATGACAGTATGGTGTATGGCTCTTTCACTAGGCCCAGGAAATAAAGTGTGGAATACTTCATCACAACCCATCACGGTTTTTTGGGGTGAGTTGCCTGTTGAATAAAGTCAATAAGGGTTATCTAAGAATGCAACCAACTCAGAACATGACTAATTTGGAAAGGACAGAATTTTTGCTTTTCCACACCAGTACACTACCAGAAAGATATCCATATAACCCCAAACTACTAAAGTTCCAAATATTAAACAATTCAGATGTAGAATCTAAAAATAATTTTTCAAATAAAAATCATATTATTCCTTTTCCTATACAATTCTTAATAGTGATTTATTTATTGTTATAATTATTCATTTTAATTTTCTTTTTGTTTTTTTTTCAGACAGGCATTTCACTAGCCTGGAACTCAGTATCTAGCATAAGCTAGTCTTTAATTCCTGTCAATCTGCTTGCTTCAGCCTTCCAAGTGCTAGAGTTAGAGCCATGAGGCAGCACAGCCAGCCTAATCATATTGTTTAATCAACTAGCAACCTGGTTCATTTATCATCTGATGAAAATCAATAATGTGTATGATTAATTGAAATTAAAGTATCTTAAAATGCTTAAGTCCTAAAAATATTTAGGACTGGTCAATGACTCAGTGGGTAAAGGCACTTGCTATCAAGACTGACAACGGGATACCATCCTCAGACCCCACATGGTGGAGGAAGAGAACAGACTCTGGAAAGTTGCCCTCTGATCCTCAGATGTGTGCTATGACATATGCACTCACTCAGGCATG